GTCGTGGTTGTCACATCGGAGCACTCGTCCACCCTCTTCTTGCGTGCACACTGCACTACCAGTGACCCACTTGTCTTCGAGGATCTCGTCAAGAGTTGCGCGTTTCTTCGGATCGATTTCCAGCATTCGGCCGATGATGTGCCTGCTCTCTCTCGGTAGCAGACGGAGAAGGCGCCACGGGCCTTTGATCACTTGAGGCGGTTGCTGACCAGTCGACGATGTTGAAGCGCGATTGTCGGCTGAAGAATGCTCTGAAGTTTGGTTACGAGATGCAGGCTCTGATTGTGACCCTGACTGACGACGATCGTCACCGGCGCTGCTCTGGAGGTCAGTGGCCGACTTCGAGGGGCCAGTAATCGATCTCGGCCCATCGTTAGGAGGCGAGACGAAGAGCTTATACGAGTTGTCGGAGACGCGTGGGGCTTTCCACGGGAATCGACGGAGCGTCATACAGCAAAACATGATAGCAAGAGACCAGATGTCGGTCGGTTGCGGGTCGTATTTGGAAAGGTCGTACACTTCTGGAGCGAGGTACGGATCTGATCCAACGATACCTGGAGGGATTAGAATATGCTTTCAAAGACGGTATAGTAGACTCACCACTTGCAAGGACAATCTCGTCCTCGAAAGGATATTTGAAGACAGCAGCACTTCCGAAGTCGATGATCTTCATGATTCCGTGCTCGTTGACGACGACATTGTCTAGCTTTAGATCTCGATGTGCCAAGCCCATGCTGTGAAGGTACGTAACTCCGTTAAGGATTTGTAGGGTGCAGCAAGTGACCTCTTCGCGGCTCATCTTTCCCGTCATCACTATAGCGAAAAGGTCGAAAGGCGCGTATTCCATCACAACGAAGTAAGCGCCCTTTTCGTTCACCAGATCCATGGTCTCGATGATGTTTCCGTGGTGCAGCGTCGAACCTATACAGAACTCGGCAGTCACCTTCTTGTTGTAGTCTTTTTCAGACTCGTACGAATGCCTGTTCCGGAACTGCTTTACAGCGAATGTGGTGCCGTCGCTACTTCGCTTCATGAGTCGAACAGAGCCACCAGCACCTGAACCCAGCACTTTTCCAAACTTTCCGTACTTGCTCTGGAGGCCGTGGTCGTCGGCGAAAGGTACGCTCATCGCCCCGTTTGTGATGGGTGGTGTCATGGTCCCTGACTTGTTCGACTTGATCTTTTGGCTTTTGATAGACGGCGCAGGCGACTCTTTCCGCTTCTCCTTCTCTTTATCCTTGTCCTTCTTGTGTCCAATCTTGAAGAAGCGCTTCAGTTCAGACATGGATCCGTGGTTGTGTTTGCCTATTTGTGATTTGCTGTCCTCCACGTCAGAGTGAGCTTTCGTCTTTTTTCCAAATATGCTCGTCCTCTTGCTCTCCTCTTTGTCAGAGTCGGTTCCCCTGGAGCGTGGTAGTTGGTATGTGGATGACGCTGCTGAATTACGCCCATCGCGGCCACCGTAAATGTATCGGGCTTCGAGCGAGTCCAGATTCCTCGATTGCGCTGCGCGTTTGGAGCGAGCATAGGTATCGTCTCTATCTCCCTGTGGTGTAAATGGCCGGGAGCCAGATGCCGGGGTCGACGTTCCTGGCGTTCGCTCTCCACCGGATCCAGCCGGACTAGCATCCCGGGAGGCCGGGTTTGAGTCACCAGCAGGACCCATTGTGAAGGCAGGACTGCGTCTTGGGTGCGGCTGTACTATGCCGGACAGATCTGACGAGGGTCGAGGGGATTGTGGTGCGGTTTTGGGAGAGCCAGGAACGGGCAGTGAAGATTGGCTATCGTTTGGATTTTGCACAGATGAGTCCATGGACGTTGGCGGAGCTTCATGCGGGGGTGAGACCTGGGGTGTCATCATAGCGGGATCACTCGGGCGCTTTCTGTGTCCCTCTGTGTTAGCTCTCTCTTCACGAGACGATGTGCCTGCTGGCGTTAAGGGTGGAGAGTGCATGGCGGATGCAGGTGACCCCGGAATGGAAGAACGGTGTCCTGAGTGTGCTGAAGCTGTTCGTGAGGCTGGAGAGGGAGAAGGTGCCTTGGGAAGGTTAGCGGAGTGTTGATAGGCCATGGGCTAGTTCATGAGGCTTGCTTACTCGAGAGGGCGGGAGTGAGACAGGTTCGAAGGAGAAGTTTTCCATGCGCTTGGCCTGCATCCGTGACTTTTGGAGCGTGGACGACAGATTACGTAGCTCTTCCTCAGCTTGAGGGCTCAATGGGCCATCGTTGGGTGCCTTGTCGGTGCCCGTGAGCTCCGCGACATCCCTCACGGCCTCTTCTGGTTCAATTTCCTGGGTGACATCGCTGAAGCGGACAGACTGCGCAGGGGGCGTCTCCGTCATGGTGGGTGATGGTTGTTGGGTGTGAGTGTGAGGTGAATGTTCTGTCATAGAGGGTCAGCTCCCCTAGCCCAGGCCATGACGAAAGACGCAGATGTCTAGGTCGGATAGCTCTAGCTTACTTGAGTGGATTCGTGATGCGCGTCGCCCAGAGCTCCGTCACAGCGCCCTTGCAGCTCGGATCTAGGGTCCAGATGGGCACGCGGAAAAGGCGGAAAAGATGACGATAGCAATGCGCGCAGTGGTGATGCCGGAGAGGAAGGAACCAGATGCAATGCTCGAGTCGTGTGCCTGACTACAAAGCATCGAGAATCGTCATCGGAGACTAGAGTAAAGAAGCCCCGCGCTAGTCGGCGATTGCGTGCAACCAATTCGCCCGTAAAACCGCGGATGTGCGGAATCTGGAAGGGGCCTGCTGCTGCTGGGGGATTGGTCCTATGTATATGCGAGAGAAGACAGCAGGTCGGCGTCGGGCGTGAACAGCGACAAGAAATTGATCTTCGGAGGGGTTGACGATACTCCATAGGTGCTACCTCGAAAGGCACAGGGCGCGCGGGTTGCCCAATTCGTTCAACATCGGGAAGCTACGGCTAAGCCTCTCCCATGCACCGCCGCCTCAACTCCCATGTCGGCAGCGTCTTTGGCATCTTCAACGAACACGCCAAAGATCCTCCCCAAGCACCGAGGTCCCTCAGACCCCGACAGCACCATCTCGTGATACCCTCGCAGCATATCAACGCCCACCAAGTGTCCCGACCGTCTGTTCTGACGTCGCCCTTGGACGTCGCTGTACCTACCTGCTCCCGGCCGTGCTTCTCGTCACCCCGAAAATTTCAGATCCAGACCTGTTGAACAGAACCTTTCCAGATTTTTTTCTGCCCTCCTCCAATCAAACCTCGTGACCGCCTTTACCTACGCACCTCTGTTATTTTTGGATAGTGCCCCGACCTGCCCTCAACATGTTCAGCTGGGCCAAGTCAACGTGAGTGCAACCCTCGCCCCCACACGTGCCTGCGCGACCGTGGCGTACACCGTGTAGTCGTAGAGGACGCGTACTTACAAATGTAGACTAGCCGCGGTTGCCGGCACCCAGGAGCCCGAATACGGTCCCGAAGCCATCCAGCCCGTGGGCAAGAAGGGTGGTGAGCCCGCCTACACGGAGCTGACCAAGAAGGACCTCAAGTGGGTGACGCTCGACTACACCAACGTCGAGACCCAGACCTTCTACCTCTTCACCGATGCCGGCCACAAGGGCTTCCTGCAGGTCATCTACAACAACGTCGCGTGAGTGCCCTCTGCCTGTCTAGACGACCACAGTACTTACAGCTTACAGCGGCCTACGAGTGACCGTGCAGTTCAACTGCAAGCTCTTTTACCCCAACAGCGAGAAGCCTTTCCTATGGGCAAGTGACCCCGTTTCAAACTACGGCTTCGACGAGGACCAGCATTCCTTCTACGCCGATGGCGTCTCAATCGAACTCTCCGAAGATGGCAACGCGTACACCATCAAGGCGGCCGTGAACGACAACAGCATGGTCAACGTCAAGTTCACCAGGACTGCTCCCGGCTTCATGGGCGGAAAGGACGGCACAACCAACTACGGCACCGATCCAAAGGCGCCGTGGGGCTTCATGCACCACCACTTCTGGCCGCGATGCAGCGTTGAGGGTACCATCATCACCAAGGAGGGAGAGGTCGACGTCAAGGGTCGCGGCATGTTGAGCCATGCTGTCCAAGGAATGAAGCCACATCACGCTGGTAAGCATCTTCTCAAGTATGCAAACGCTTCCGACTAACATACATAGCTGCGCGATGGAACTTCGTCAACTTCCAATCACCATCATACTCTGCCATCCTCATGGAGTTCACCACTCCCGCTTCTTACGCATCGACTGTAGTCCGAGTCGCCGGAATTGCAACCGATGACAAACTTCTTTTCGCCAACACCGAAGGCGACGTGAAGCACACCGAGACCAAGCAAGACGAGACCGGCTGGCCGGAGCCCACCTCGGCGAGCTACCACTGGGTGGGAAAGACCGAGGATGGCAAGGAAGTCACTGCAGACCTTTCTGGTGCTCTGGGAAAGACCATCGACCGTGTCGATGTTATGGCTGAAGTGCCAGGTTTCATCAAGACCATCGTCGCAAGCGCAGCTGGCACAAAGCCGTACATCTACCAATATGCGCCCAAGATGACCATCAAGGTCAAGGTTGGCGATGAGGTCAAAGAAGAGGAGGGTATTCTGTTTACTGAGGCGACATTCATTTCGTAGAGATGGTCTCAAGGTTGGATACAAGGACCCTACGATCACGTATACCCTAGTATTAATAATGCATCAGGGCTAGCACCTGGAACCTAATGAGTAACGTTTGCCGCGCATAAGATGCATGATATTTAGCGACCTTGTGCAGTTAAACGTGGCCGCCACTGTCTATGATACTTCACCGCTAAACTTTGGCCTATTCTCACCTCGCGTTTGTTGTCGACAAGAGAAGATAGTACCCCGCTGCGATACCCCGCGTCCCTTCACCGCACCCACTCTCACCTGATAACGCGGACGCGTCTCAGCGCGTGGCGTTGCGGCCCGTGCCCAAGCCACACCAACACAGCGCTTCCGTCATCGCTCGTTCTACCTGAGCATAACACCATTAATGCAGCAGCATGGTTAACGAGAGGCCCAGGCAGTTTGGCGGTCCATCCCGCTACGCGTCAGCACCTCGGTCGCAAGCAACAGGAACAACTGTTTCTGCGTCACCAGCTGCTTCCAGAGCGGCAAGACTGGGGCTCGGGCTGGGTAAGGGCGCCGGCGGTATAGGGAAAGGAAATGGGTTAGGAAAAGGCGGACTTAAGCGTCACATGTGAGCTCACAGCTCATGCCCTAGATGATGCAAGAACTGACATGTTGAAGGAAAATTCGGAAAGACAACATATACGGGATTTCGAAGAACGATATACGGTAAGTAGCCCTGGGTCACCATCAGCAAGAGCGTGGGCAGCCTCATTGCAGCATGCTGTTGCGTTTGAATACCGCGAAACCTGTGCGGTTACTTTGATCAACTTGTTCACTAATTTACACCTTAGTCGGTTAGCTCGCCGTGGCGGAGTGAAGCGCATTTCGGCAACAACATATGATGATATCCGTCAAGCTCTCAAGGAGAGGCTGCACCGGGTCAGTTGATCTTGACGAGTAGCTGCATGCAGACACTAACGGACTATCAGATATTGAAAGATGTATGCGCCATCTTGGACTCAAGTGGGCGCCAAACTGTTACGGTCACTGACATCGTCTTCACCCTTCGACGAGTAAGTTATGTCCCAGAGCTTGGATGTTGCCGTTAATGATTTTGATAGCTTGGCAATCCCATCTACGGTTTCGAGCCCGCCTTCTTGAATGTTCGCTAAGTGCATATTGTCCACAAGCACAATGTGCGGTGGTAGGACAAAGGACAAGTTCTATATTCAGGAAAAGGCGCTTCCCTTCCTTACTAGCGATGATACACAAATGATAACTTGCATATCCAACAACCATGTCCGTCAATTACCACTTTTGAATAGCCTTCTTCACTGACTCCATCTGCTCGTCCCAGTTTTCTTCGTTTGCCTCTTCGTCCCAGCGTGTCTTATACCATCGGTTCAACGCATCCAGCCACTTCATGACATCCCCTCGCATCATCGCCGCCCCAGGTTTATTTCTCTTCCATGCCTTTTCCACACATCCCATCGTTAGCACCATAGCATGATGGTTGAGAAACCATTTTAACACCGCCTGCTCTTGTAGACCCGGCAACCCAAACGGATTATGGAATGGCGACTGCTCAAATGTGTAAGCCCACCTGATATCTTTTTGTGGCGATCTCGAGCACCAAAGGAACCAAGAAGCTAGCCGGCAGAACACCAGAAAGTGGGATTTATGTACGTCAGATGGTACTGTGTAGATATTTCCAAAGGGCTGGCATGCTTTCCAGTGATCTTGCATGTATCCATCAATCAACCAGCCTTTGGGTGGATATGTGAAGGTGTTCTTTACGCTCGGTAAGACGTTAATTTCTAAATGTCGGTTCCGGGATAACAGCAGAGCGCGATGCTGTTTTGGTAGTTCATCCAGCCATTTCATAACAGGATAGAAGTTGAGGTTCCGGACTGTAAACTTGAAGGCTGTGCTGGTGTAGTAGTCGTATGCCGCCTCTATCCTGATCGCACGGCAGATGTGGAGTAGGGAAGGTGGCCGTTGTTGTCCGTGTTTGAGGATTGCGGGCCAGGAATCAGAGATGTGATGTGTCGTTGGTAAGACAAACGTGTATACTAGGCTGCGTAGTTCGGATGGAAGATCTGCTAAGAGGCATGGCTTGGAGACATCTTTGGGTTTGATAGGGTAGAGATCGCGATTGTAGATGAGCTGGTCTCTTGCCCGAGGTGTAAGAAGAGATGGTCGTTTGAGGGTTTTCTTCGGAGTCAGAGGAGTTTGAGCGCGCTTTTCAGGTGTGGTGGAGATCTTTGCACTGTATGGCGAAGGTTTCGTCGGTTCTGCTGTGGTGTGGATAGTGCTCGATGATCTCGGGCTGGCTCTAGAGGCAGACGAGGTTGTGGCGCGAGCGTATGATGGGGTCGACATCACTGCAACGTTTTTCCGTATAACCTTGAAAAGAGACGAAGCAGTAGTCGGATCCTGAGATATCACGTAGAAGCAGTTGCCACCTGGATGTGCCGCTTACACGTCCTGCTGCATCCAACTCTTTTCTCTACGCTATTTTGCCTTAAATTGCATCGAGATGATTGTTGCTAGAAGTGTTATCTCGGGCGTACTCCTTCATCTCCTCAAAGCTTTGGATTTTGATGAATGATGACGCATGATGAGGCTGAAGATGTGACGTTGGGAGAGGTGCCTGGCCACGTGAGAGCGCGAAAGTGGGGCATTTCATCCATCGCGCTTCCCGTCTGCCCACACCTCCGTCATGCATCACTCACCAGCGTCACCCTAAACTATTATTCTGAATGCGCAGTTCGGTTTGCAAAAATGACGGATAAGATGGAGCTTACGCCGCAGTCGCCACGTGGAACAAAGAGGAAAGGCGATGATAGTCTTCCACTTCCTGCTCCACGCAGGATCAAGGCGCTTTCGCAAGACGTCGTTAACAAAATCGCAGCCGGAGAGATCATTGTCGCGCCGGTGAACGCGTTGAAAGAGTTGATTGAGAATGCTGTGGACGCAGGATCAACAGCATTGGAAGTTCTGGTCAAAGATGGCGGTCTCAAGTTGCTACAGATTACTGACAATGGACACGGCATCGATGTATGTGTAATCCCTCTCAGCATCATCATATACTGATATCTCCTAGAAAGAGGACTTGCCAATATTGTGCGAACGCTTCACGACTTCCAAACTCAAAGCCTTCGAAGATCTGACCTCCATTGGCACGTATGGCTTTCGTGGCGAGGCGCTGGCGAGCATTAGCCACATTGCTCATCTCAAAGTCACTACGAGGACGAAAGAGTCAAGTTGTGCGTGGGAAGCTCACTTTGCCGATGGCAAGCTTTCAAGCGCGAAGCCTGGCCAGAGCGCAGAGCCCAAGCCCAAGGCCGGCCGACAGGGCACAATCATCACGGTATGTTCTTCTCAATTTGTGCCAATTGTGGTTGTAGCTCATGAAGTGTAGGTGGAAGACATGTTCTACAATGTTCCCTCACGGCGCCGAGCTTTCCGCTCCGCCAGCGAAGAGTATGCAAAGATTCTCGAGCTTGTCGGAAAGTATGCTGTTCATTGCGCAGGTGTTGGTTTCTCCTGTAGGAAGGCGGGCGAAAACAGCGCAGGTGTAACAGTACCTGCTTCTGCTACTGTTAAAGATCGAATCCGGCAGATCCATGGCAGCGCTGTTGCGAACGAATTGCTATCCCTAAACGTCGAAGACGACCGCTGGGGCTTCAAGTGTAACGGTTGGGTCAGTAACGCAAATCACACGATCAAACGGACGCAGATGCTACTCTTCATCAACCACCGATCGGTAGAGTCATCGGTGATCAAAAAGAGTGTCGAGCAGACTTATGCCACTTTCCTACCAAAAGGAGCACATGCATTCTTTTATCTGAGTCTCGAAATCGAGCCTCAACGAGTCGATGTGAATGTGCATCCTACCAAGCGCGAGGTTCATTTTCTGAACGAAGACGAAATCATAGCTGTCATATGCGACTCAATCCGCGAAAGCTTGAGCAAGGTGGACACAAGCCGATCGTTCATGACTCAGTCGTTGCTTTCAAATCCCAAAGTCCCCTTCGCAACGCCCATGAAACAGATTATACCTTCGGTTCCTGCGACAGCTGATGCATCTGATCGCAGCGGCTCAAAGGCGCCGCAAACAGCGACCAAGAAACGAAATGATAATCACCTTGTCCGCACAGATGCCTCAGCACGCAAGATTACGTCAATGTTGCAGCCGCAGAAATCAGTCGAAGAGATTGCAATGGATGAAGAAGAAATGGAATACGAGCTCGCAGAAAAGGAACCAATAGCTTGTCGTCTCACGTCCGTCAAAGACCTTCGCGCAGAGGTTCGAGATGCCATGCACAACGAGCTTACGGATATTATCTCGACGCATACATTTGTTGGTATTGTTGACGAGCAGAAGCGTATAGCAGCCATACAAGGCGGCGTCAAGCTATTTCTCGTCGACTATGGCATGCTCTGCAACGAGTATTTCTACCAAGTTGGTCTCACAGATTTTGCCAATTACGGATCAATCCGCTTCAATCCGCCTTTATCACTACATGACCTGCTCAAGGTTGCCGCAGAACAAGAGAAGACCAATGCAGGCGACGCGGCGGACGAGGTAGACTGGGATGAGGTTGTCGAGGTTGTCAAGGAGCAGTTGATCAGTAAGGCGGCGCTGCTAGGCGAATACTTCTCTATGAAGATCACCTCAGAAGGCGACCTTTGCTCTATTCCGTTGCTGATGAAGGACTACACTCCTTCTATAGCCAAACTTCCTCAATTTCTGCTACGTCTCGGACCACATGTTAACTGGAATGAGGAGAAGGGGTGCTTCCAAACATTGCTGCGAGAGATTGCGTCCTTCTACGTACCTGAAAGTCTGCCTCTGCCGCCATCCGCACAGAAGAGCGATGACAGCAAAGACAAGGGCACAGTTGCTGATGAAGACATCGAGATTGCTATAAGGCGGAAGAAGCTACTGCGGGCAATCGAATACACCATATTTCCGGCCTGTAAGGCTAGACTAGTGGGCACGAAAGGGCTACTCAATGGGGGTGTGATGGAGGTCGCAAACCTAAAAGGTCTATACCGAGTATTTGAGCGATGCTGATGCGATGAAATCAACTCCCAACATGATAGCTATGCACGGGCATGGAATTCATTAATTATCGATATTCCCGGACGATCAATACAAAACTAATATCAAATCTAGACTCTCCTGTCGTTGCCGTGGAGCTAAGTGTTGGAACTAGGATCTCGCGGCTGCAAACGTCACCATAACGCTTCGATCTAAAACTCGCTAACACGTCATAGATTTCCGTACCATCGAGCAAACAGCCCTTAGAGGAAATAACCGTAACAACAAATAAAACCAAATGGCCGCCATGCATTCTCCAAGGGCAGCAAGCTTTTTAAGCGACGAATTGTGGTCCATCTCCCTTGAGATACTTGCGCCTTATCCTTTTACTTCGATATACCATGTCGCAACTAATTAATCGCATTCGCCTACCACGCGCATTTCGCCCTCCGGCCCAGATCAACGCAGAAGAAGGCACAAATGGACATCCAGAAACGAATCGTGGGAAAACAGCGCCCAAGGAAGCTGAGGATGGCAAGGACAAATCGCAACAGTCTGACATGCAACCTGTGGGGTTCTGGCATCCCGATCTTCGACAAGTTCGAAATCGCGCTGTCGTAAAGTGGATCATCACGACGGCCTTCTTGATGGCATTCATTTTGGCTGTGCTATCGCTGTACTGGGCTGTGTTCTTCAAGGTCGAGAACAGGCTAAGCCATTTGCTGGTTTACGTTGTGGATATGGATGGAGCGGCGCCTTATGACAACACCGGGAACGCGCCCTTCGTTGGACCGACTATCACGCAACTTGTACAACAGCAGTTGAGCAGCGGCCAGCCGACGCTGGGATGGGGCGTCCGGCCCGGTTCAGACTTCAACAACGACCCGATACAAGTCCGACAGGCAGTCTACAATTGGGATGCCTGGGCTGCTATTATCATCAATCCTAACGCGAGCGCGCTATTGTACTCCGCTATCGCCAACGGCAACGCAAGTTACGATCCTCTGGGAGCGTGTCAGTTGATCTACCAAGATGCGAGAGATGATACCAACTGGTTTGATTTCATGTTTCCCATCATCAGTCAGTTCATGACCCAGGCACAAAGTATGGTCGGACAGCAATGGGCACAGATGGCGATGCAGCGTGCGAGCGATCCAGCAGTGCTTTCAAATATCCAAAACGTGCCCCAAGCCATCAATCCAGCGATTGGCTTCTCCGAGTTCAACCTGCGGCCTTTCTATCCGTACACTGGTATCCCTGCCGTATCCATCGGACTCATTTGTAAGTTTGCCCGTACTCTCCACCCATAAATTGGCTAATCCCGATTATAGATCTTATCATTATATCGTTCTTTAGCTTCTCCTTCTATATGCCCATTCACATGCAATACCTCAAGCCCGAAAACCACCCACCGCTCAAGTTTCCCCACCTCATCATCTGGCGCTGGTGCGCTACGATATCCGCCTACTTTATGCTCTCCCTTGCCTACTCGTTCGTCTCGATGGCTTTCCAGATCAACTTCTGGCACACAAATTCCATCACCAGCGAAACACAAGTCACAAACATGATGGAGGGTAACCCAGTCGCTTATGGAAGTGGAACCTTTGTGGTATACTGGATGCTCAACTTCTTTGGCATGATTGCGCTGGGATTGGCGTGTGAGAATGTGGCAATGGTAGTGGGTATGCCGTGGATGGGACTGTTCTTGATCTTCTGGGTCATCAGCAACGTGTCCACTTCTTTCTACGACATTGAGATTGCGCCTGGATTTTACCGATGGGGATATGCTTGGCCTCTACATTCGAGTAAGCAATACCACTCACGACATGTCAGCGATGTCAGCTGCTAACATTTCATTGTAGTTGTCGAAGGGAGTCGGTCGATATTGTTCGATTTACATTCAAGAATAGGTCTGGACTTTGGTATTCTAATCGCCTGGGGTGCTGTAAATACACTGTTCTTCCCGCTCTGTTGTTGGTTCATGAGTAAGTTCTTGTGGCATATGAAGTTGCTTTCATATACTAATGTTAAGCAGGATGGAAGACACAGCATAACATCCATGAGTACTGGCCTCTGGACTAAACCGGATACGCCTCCCTAGTACATAGGATGTGTCCTTGCAGCTCTCTGGTTAGAGAATAAATTATTAATACTGATCCTTGAGTTATCTTTACTTTGCTGGCTGAAGTGCTTGTCCGTCTTCACACGTCTATATCGCAACATACATGATATTTAGTAGGAAGAATGTCATTGTAGTATAACGAGGGTATCTAATCTTCATGTTCATGGTCGGACCGGAAAAACTCCACGCTGTTCAAAGGTCGTATATCAGTCATAATTCATAACTCATCTCTCGCTTCATGGTTGCGTCGTCCTGACTGCAGCATCTTTCAAAGGCCCATGAATACTTTCCTCGCTCTGGCGGCCTGCAGGAATGCTCCATAGCTCCATGTCAGGTCCTCAGCGCCCCTCATATAACCAGTCACACGATCGAACTGCTCACTCATGCTACCCTCAGCATCAACGTGCGTCTTGATGACCTCGAGAAACTGATCGCCCGTGGTGTGCAATCGCTCAATAACGGAATGAAAGAGTGCATCAGACGGGCCGAATGTGCCAACATCAACGTCAAGAGATGATGTTGCAAGGAGGGCCTCAAAGAAAGGCAGACCGGTGCCAGAGATGGTCAAATTGCCAGCAACCGAGAGATGTGATGCTGTACGGTAAAGAATCTCGGCAGCCGACGATGTGCACAGAAACCAAGGGTTACCGCCGCGGTTAGAGGTGCCATATCCGTCATATACATCTTCGGGATAACGCCCGATACCGGTTCCTTCGAATGAGTTTTCTTCCATGTCATCCTGGTCCTCGTCCGATGGATTGCTGTTGATGGGGAACCGATCGCGTTGGTCACGGGCAAGAGCAAGAAGCGAAACGAGAATCTCATCAGACCAAGGTGGGTATGCAGAGTCGCCTTCAAAATCATCTGCAGGCAGAGCATGAAGAGAGCCAAGGAGCAATGCGCAATCCAGTCCACTCCTTTTGCTCGACAACGTCTCCACAAGGTGGCTTTTCTGAGCATCCCAAAACTTGCCGAGGAAACTCTCGATGTGATCAGCCTGCTCTTTGTACCATTGCGCTGCACCTATATCTCCAAATGTTCTTGCAAGATCGCTACCTTCCTTCAAACTTCTTGCGCTGACCATTAGGTTAAAGAAGTGCAGGCCCTCGACTTCCTCCCAAAGATCGAAACTTGACTGGTTCCAGAAGTGACTGACGTATTCCAAGTCGGCTTTGATGACGCTACGCGGCGGCATCTCTGCAGTGTAGTATGGTCCGAAGAAATCCTCAGATGACTCTGAACTCCAGAGTGAGGGGTGTGAGGCATTGTATTCACGCAGATAGTGCATAAGCGTCAAGGCCCGTAGCGCTGGGCCGTCACGCTGAGGCCGTCCCCAGGAGCCAGTAAAAGGTGTGCCATCGACGTGGAACTTAGGTTCACCCAATCCAGAGAGATCGTCAAATGTGCCTGAAGGGTTCGAGGTGTGCTGAATGTCGCTCGAGAGAGATGTATATGCGCCGAGGATAGAAGACAACGCGGAACCGCGAGAAGAGGATGGGCCGTCGGCATAGACGTCTACGAGGGTGTTCATAGTTATGGCAGCATCGCGAACCCCTGTTAGATGCACGTTAGTGATTGATTGGTAGCAAGCACAGGTTCGCGAAGCTCACATTGGAACCAGTAATCTGGACTCTCTTGACTCGGACTCGCAATGACCGTGCCATCCGCTACACCCTTCCCTTGGACATTACTACCGCCAGGTGCGATGTTTGCCAGGAGTTTGTCTAGTGCTATACGTCCTTCCTTCTCGATCCACGCATCGAGTGAATCTTGTAACGGCTGCTGCAGTGCCTGGGTGTAACTGGCGCCAACAAAATCGCCGAGGCGAGGAACGTGTGGTATCGAGAAGGCATGGCTACGGTGGAGGAAGCCTGCGAGGAGAAGTACGTGAGGTAGCATGACTGAATAGGGCCGATGGACTAGGACACTGAAAGAAGTGTAGTGTAGTATAATTAGCAGCTCATAACTAGCGCAGGATGAAGCAGAGAGCAGAGGAAGAAGCAAAGCAAAAGACCTCGTGAAGCCTAGGGGTTAGTAGTGGATCAAAGAGGCTCAAGAGCCACCCATGGCCCCCCGGACTTTCAGGTATCCATGCTTTCAACTTCCGCAGCCATCCTTCTCATCGGCCATGGTTTTCGATCACGATGATGACGATGAGTCGCGTGCCAACGTTAGCGGAGCGCGTGGACGAGTAGGAGGCGGTGGACGTGGTCGCGCGGGCGGTCAATTGTCTTGTTTGACCTGGCGGGTGATGTGTAAAAAGCCACGCGAGCCGACGCCAACAACGTCACGCGACCCACATCCGCGGCCCCGGGGGATCTGGGGTAAGCATGCAAGGCACTTTCCGCTGGGCGTGCAACACACATGAAAATGGCCGAGGTCTGCGTATAGTTGCACATGAAATTTCGACTGTGAATGCGAAGAGGAAATCATATCAACGTCTGGCGAGAACTTGAGTGTCGGCTACACTATGATTAGCCTGTGGCATGTTGCTCCTCTGCTATGTCTAAGCTACACCAGAAACTGTCCTTCCAAACCAGCTGAGCTTGTCAGCTTCGGTAGATGCCTGCCGACCATCGGTCGTGAATCACAGAAAAACACCATGAACCCGCAGTCTGCAGGGCGCGCAGACAGTTGTTTAAGAATTCCGATGTCGCCCGAGGTTCGGATGTATGAGGGGTCCATTCGGCTACTCGCATGTAGCCGCAATGCACGTCGGTTAGTTACCTCTGAGCTCATCTGAGGTACCAGATGTCTAGATACAGGACTCAACTTGAGCGGACAAAGCAAGAGCGTGCTTCATTATCGTCTTTCTTTTCTACGATTGAGACCCGGTTGTGGTGGTTTTGACGGTTCGTTCCAAGTACCGAAACAGTCTATGACGTTGATCTAAAAGCTCGTTCTATCCGATATGCTTTCACAGCAAGTGCGTATCTTGCGCAATAACGTCCGCACGGCGCAAAAGCCCTGCCAAAGGACACCTTGTGCCACCTTCTCGGTCTCCTGTCGACGCAACAACTACGATGACACCATTCAAAATCTCAAAATCGGTTCGCACACACGCGTGATATTCCAAGGATTTACCGGAAAACAAGCCACTGCGAATGCAAGAGAGTCGATAGAATGGGGGACCAATGTGGTTGGCGGTGTGAAACCCAACGGCTCAGGAGAGCATCTTGGGCTGCCTGTATTGCCGTCTGTGAGGGCCGCCATGGAACAATTGAAGCCAGATGCCACGGGAATCTATGTGGCAGCTCATCAGGCGACAGCTGCAATTGAAGAGGCCATTGAAGCCGAGGTGCCACTCATCGTTGCAGTTGCGGAACACATTCCATTGCATGATATGATGAGGATACATTCGATGCTGCAGTCGCAGTCCAAGTCGCGACTCGTGGGTGCCAATGCCCCTGGTATCATCTCTGCTATTGGGAAATGCAGGATCGGGTTCCAACCACTCCCAACGTTCTCTCCTGGGCACATCGGCATTGTAGCAAAATCTGGCACGCTCTCATACGAGACGGTAGGATCTCTAACGCGAGCTGGTGTTGGTCAGAGTCTATGCATCGCAGTAGGAGGTGACGTGATCGCTGGGACCAACTTTGTCGATGCCTTGAAAGTTTTTGAGCATGACGAAGATACCAAAGCTATCATCATCGTCGGCGAACTAGGCGGTACAACAGAAGAGGAGGCGGCGGACTGGATCAATGACTACAAGAGGCGTGTCAATAATCCGAAACCTATTGCCGCTGTGATTGGGGGATTCGAAGCGCCACACGGAAAGGTAATGGGTCATGCAGGCGCGTGGGTTGGTCTGGGAGAAGGCACTGCGGCTTCAAAGTACAAGGCTCTTGAAAACGCCGGTGTGACTATGGTGGATCATCCTGCCAAATTTGGCGGTGTGATGAAGGATATTCTTGCAAAGACCGGTGGCAATGTGAAGAAAACTGTATGTTTGAAGGAGAGAGACCGAGTATGAAGACACTGACCGCGACCAGGAACAATCCGCAGCTCATCAACGCCGCTCATATCATACTTCAAGCTTCACACGGCGACCTGGCTTTTCCGCTAGACCGTCAATCGTGCCTCAACAAAGACGTTCTCTCCATCTCACCCGAGACCAATCTACAAACCTTCTCAAAGAATACAAGATCAATTTGACTGTACCACCTGAGGGCTCACCGTCAACACACTACTTAGGAATCTCCCCTAATCGCTCAACCCGCAGTCCTTCAATCATCGCATCGCCCACCGCAAATGCTTCCACACTCAACCAACGCGTCCGTCGCTTTCCCTTCGACTACCGTTCAGGCCCCAGTTCAGAGACCATTCAAGCCGCAATCGCACACATGCAACTCGACGCTGCACCACCTAAAGCTAAAGCCCAAACAGTCGAATTGATCAAGAATCTCTGGAAGTTATACAAAGAGAAGGAAGCCATAGACACGCATGTCAAGCTCGCTCTGTCTGTAGAGAGCGACGAGATGCTTGTTTACGAACCACACCTGTTCTTCGACGACGCAGCGTTCAAATCAGGAAAACGACAAGCTGATCTTCACACTCTACGCGACCAAGCCTCTATTTCCGCTACAGATCGAGAAGCAGAAGAAGCGGGTATCGTTTATATACCTTTAGGCTCTCCTGAATTTCCTGCTGGCACTACTCAGGCATGGACTCAAACGCCACCGTCCTCTACTTCTGAGGAAGGACCGCGAAATCTAATAGGTACTCTGGTCAACGGTGCTGGACTCGCGTTGAACACGGTTGATACGCTTTCTCTGCGTCTGTCTCAACCACCTTACTCGACTTCTGCTGCCAACTTCCTCGACACGGGTGGTAAGGCGACATCCGCCACTATCAAGACCTCGTTTAAGCTCATTCTATCTGATCCCCGCGTTTCCGTCGTCTTTGTAAACATCTTTGGAGGACTGACGTTGTGCGATATGATCGCCGAGGGAATCAT